GTACTAAACAGAAGTTCCCGTGACCCAACCGTCTTTCTAAGAAAGTCGTCATGAGAAAACAAGTGCATGGTTATTCGATTTGTACAAAATGTCGGTTATAGATGAGAAGGAAAATTAGTTTAAAAAAGTCGCGGGGAGCTCAGACTAACACGGATAGAAATGGACAAATGAAAAAGTTACTGTGCGGCCAATCGGGGGAAATGGACCAGTAAAAGCCAACATCAGCACATGATAAAGGTAACGCGCGAAACCAGAAACAAAATAAGTGAGGCAAAAAGATCAACACAAGTCGGCATTCGAGAAAATTACTGTTATTAGCAGCCTTGTGTTGAGCAGCAGATCAAAAGACAGATATACAGAAAGATTAAGAATAAATTATGGTACACGATGTGACGAAAGAACGAACCGTATGGTGACAAGCCCCACTTCACTGAGCAGAAACGAGGAAAAATGTACAAAAGACTGACCTACAGGATCCTATCAGGCGACTGCGATTGCGAAATTGAGACAAACGGGTGCAGGTCGAAAGCAAGTGGCACGAAAATTCACGAACCAAATGAGTGGCGAAGCAACTGAAGTAGGCTTTGGACTTTCATCTGAAAATACGGAGTAGCAACATTTAACAGAACAATTAATTTAACTGCTACACGTGACCCGGAGGAAACGGGTGAGTGAGATACCATCAGAGCTGCCAGAAGTACATGAAAATAGTGAGAAATAGAAATGTCCCGAAACGAGGAATTTAGATCGCAAGCTCTCCATCAGATGAAAAAAAACATGGGGATGGCTAGCAGTAATGGTTGGTTTATTTACACGTCTCTAAATAATGGCAAGACTATTGCAGCTGCTACTGTCCCGTAGTGGTTTCCTTCGCAACAAAAAGCATCACTTACGTCTCCCGTCTTCCGTTCCTTCCCACTAGAATTGTGAGGTGCTGGTTTGAAGTAAGAAACTACAAGTGTTGGCTGATTCTGCAGGTACAACAGAGTCACACTTTCGGAGACTTAATTAAAGCAACCCACCTACTACGACCGCTGAGTAGCACTCGCTTAGTCTTAATGGACAGTTCACACAGCTGCTTTTGTTGATGGAACTATCAAACATCGTGACAAAACAAAAAACTACAGCAATGTATGGTTAGAATTCACAGTTGGGGCTTGTGCACGAGTTAAGTGTTTGATAACAGGAGATGTCAGCGAACCCAACACAGTTCCAGAATCTGGTGTTAAGTGACCCTCTGCCAACACCTGACCACTACTGGTGTATGTGCGTTGGCCCGGGTACCAAATATATCGGGTGGTGGTCTCGCAGCCCCGCTTCAGCCATTACCCTCAAAAAAAAAAAGAAAGCGTTCAGCTTAGCACCCTTCCGGCGCCTAGCTGCCATGCCACCCGAAGGAAGCACGAGGGCTTGGATACTGCCAGGTTGCCTGAGCCTAGGCAGGGGAAGTCGAGAGGCGGAGGTCGGATTCGAACCACGGAACTTCCGGTCAGTAAATTCGCGCTCTAACCACTTGGGCCATCTCGCCATTACCCTCAGGAGAAAATAATATCGATTGCTTAGTACGTGCTCATAGAATCCTTCCGCTAAAGGTGATAAGAAAAGCGGACCGTGACTAAAAACAAGTCTATAATAGCAATGATAATATTTTTAATTAAGGAAACTACCTACAAGGTTGCTGAAGACTCTTCGACAGTCCACGACCGGTTTCACCCTTGGGCTCAAGTAGAACACAACGTTGACGGAAACTCGGGGACTACTCGCACCTGATGATCCCCAAGAAAGGCGAAATCGGTTATGGGCTTTCGAAGGGTTTTCTGCAACCTTGTGAGTGGTTTCGTTTATGAAAATATACTGTGATGTCTCTAATATCGTACCAACTGAAACATGAGGCGGGTTTTGTGAAGCACATTCAGTTGAAGAACATCATAAACGAGAGATTCAGTTGAGTTTCCCGTGAAAAATAAACTTCTTTACAAATGTGTGTATTTGTCGAAATGATAATAGTGTTTGTGCGATTACTCAGTATGGTTTAGATTTCATTCAACGGCAGGCAGAGGTCGGGTTCAAACCATGGACCTTCAGGTCGTTACATTCGCACTCTAACCACTTGAGCCATCTCGGCCCATTCATTTGAATCCACGTCGGGTTTCCAAGATAAGTTTACACGTATAGCCTTTAGACCTTTGGTAAACTATTAACATCGACTGTGTGCGCCTAACTTATGCTACGGTTAGGGGTGATGTTTATTCGTTAGCTGCTGAGGAGTTCCACGAAGACTGTTACCACCGAAAACCCATTCTAGGGCCACACAAAACCATCATTGAATCGACTCGGTCTGACTCACTGCTAAGTTCGAGGAAGTCGCAATAAAGTGACAGAAAGTAAGAAACTTGAAAAGCGACTTTCCCGTCAAGTCAGACAGTGCGAAAATCAAGGAAGAAATACACATGGGACGCGCAGTTGCTACGCGATACGCATTTCCCCCATACAAAATGAATCACCTGAGTGACCAAGTGGTAGTTGAGGCTGACAAAATAAAGTGGATATAGAAATTCGGGGTTGCGTCATCATACAATAATGCAGCCGCGACAAGTTCTAGGTGCAGTACATATGGCATCAAACGAAACCAGAACACAGAATCCGGGGAATAATGACTTGAGACGTACTGTAACGGAGCACGGAAGTGTAGGAATCTGAGTGCACATGACCAATAGAAACGACGCTGTGTTTTGCTGACGTCACTTAATGCTTGATACATATATCGCATGCCAGACAAACAAGCGTCAAACCTCACAGGAGAGAGAGCTTACTCCATGCTTCAGCTTAGGCTTATCACCCAGGTTGCTGAGCGTTTTCTTCGCGTAACATTGAAAGAATTCACAAAGTCGACCGACAGCAAAGCACAATTTTGCGGAACTCGAGTATCCAGAATCCTCAACAGCGCCGCCATTAAGCTGTGCAATGAGGCACGAACCGTATGCTTCAGTATATTGCTTCATGTGGTCCTTTGGACTACCCAATTTCGTTCGTGTCTCCTATGGCTTCTCAAATCTTGAAAGAATTGACCAACAGGCGGACTACACTCATATCGTAGCATGTTAGCTAAATACCGACTATGCTTTTATTGTGACAGCTACTGCCACGACCCAAGGACCGATTAGTTTAGACTGTTATTCAACTGAGTGAGGTGAACTGATGGCCCAGTGGTAGGTAACGCGTATGACAAATGTATATAGCCAGGTCGCACAGTCCTTCTATGGAAAGGTATACTGTCTGACAGTGTTCGTATCTGTGAGCCTGACGAACAAATATACCAAACAAGACGCATAATTTATCCACGCAACGAAGTTTTGGGAAGATTTGGTAAAAACACTGCGACCGTCACACATTCGACCCAATTATCAACAAAATATCCAATCAGCTATTGGGGGGGGGGGGCGGTACATGGAACGACCGTTTTCGGGCAAAGTATAGTGACAAAAGGATCAACGGAAACCAGTGTTGACGGACTCACTATTCAAGGGCGGCTAGTGAGACTAAAACCACAGGCGGCTGTTGAGATCCTAGGCGGAGGCGGAGGGGGCTGGTGATTGGCCACACGCTGATTCATGTTACCGACTGACGGCGCCTGAGATTGGGTAGCGCCGGGAATAACACCGCGTCGGTCGAACAAACTCGTATTGCGGGGCGGAACTGCGACACAACAGCTACTGCTACTGCTGCTTTTCGAACTGTCTTGACCTACCATCTCCGGCTGCATTCGATTCCAGTTGGTGCTATCAGGCTGTTGTGTTGTGTGAGTTACGGCCTTGGAGCGATTCCCTTCAGAAGTGGAGCTCGAAGCCGTAGACGAAGCAGCCACGTCTTTGGCAGTGGAGAGTGACTGGGCTAGTGAACAAGTCGGTGTGGCATAGGAGGTCAGAGGACGAGTTAGGTTTGATGGGACTTGGGAGTGAGGAATGTGGCGTACCAGAGGTGTGGTGGAATCTACCGCTTGGGAGGTATGTAGGAAATTGATTGGATCAATGTTTTTTGAAACGGGGATCTCGTGTGATGGTTTACCACGGCTGAAGTGGTTCAGCTCACTATCGCTGCTTGAGGAGGAATCAGAGTAGCCTGCAAGAGAGTAAGTTATGTGTGCTAAAGGATAGAACGGCGTGGTCTCGTAACAATAAGAAGGACCATTCTGGTGATTGTACATCGCATTACCATACAGCAAGCGCGTTTATTGAACTGAAAGGGTCGTGTAACTTGTCGCGTTGCACTTAGCCAACCTAGCGCCCATTGGTTGAAAGTTTGGCGATCAAACCTGTAACATTGCACCGGAATGAACTGCATAGTATGGCGCGTTACCGACACGGATTAAGAAAGCAGGCACCTGTCTTACAAGGCCATAGACCGAAACCCTCGGTATTTAGTGGAACGACACCAGGAAGTGCAAAAACAGACACTAAGTACACGGATTTTCTCGATAACCAATAACTCTCCTGTGTGAATCATTTAGTACCATGCTTTCAACCTAAAACGTGGCCTTCAAGCGCACAGGATGTACGAAAACTATCAGTGTTTTTGAAGTGGTGGATGGGTTTGGTAGGAACACCGAGTAAGGAATGATGAAGTAGGAGGGATACGCTGGTTAGGACAAGTATTTTGGATGCCAGAGGACCGTCTACTTCGTAGAGTCCCAGTCCCGTACTGAGCGGAGGTGATCGAGAGATGGACGGTCGATAAACCAGAAACGAATTATGAAAACACTAAGTATTAGACTAAGTCGGGTTGACAACTGCCGCCTTTTTGGATAGGGACCTTGGGACTCAACTTACCGGTGGTTATTGAGCCTGATAGACATCGCTCAACCATTAAATCAGTGGCGCTACTGTATCAAGGCCTCCCAGATTCATTAAAATAACTATACCGATTTCATACAAACTAACTGACTATACCGTCATCAATGTTTGGCTATATCCCCTCCGATCTCCGATTCTCCGGTGATCGAAAATGTAGCAGCTGGAGACAAAATATACTTGGTTTATAGCTCTTAAAGTGAAACCGAGATGAAAACTGAAAAATCACGGTTTTTCATGTGAACTCTGGTTCCCCGCACAGGATAACCAATGCGTCCAGCAATCAACTGGGGTCACGCAATTGTGAAGTAGCGTGACATCAGTGATATGGTGTCTGGCGAGGTTAAACTGTGACGATCTACGGCATGATACACCAGTAATCGAGACACCAGAATCTTATGTGCTGAGCCAAGGAAAGTTAAACCAAATGAAATTGATGGAATTAGCGATCAATATGGTAATGTTGTTACTCGAATTGTAAGCATACACATATGGGGCATTAGAGCTTTGAATTGAATGGCAATGTGACGTAGTTTTCTGGAAGATTTTGTTGTCCTTTCGTAGCAGTTAGTGTCACATGAGTGGTGTGTTAAACAACGGTTACGCATTGGGTAAACAAGTACCTGTTCATAAAATTGAGGCATCAGGATTAGCGAAGGACTATCAACCAGAGGATCTGTCAGTGGAAGGTGCAGGACGAGAAGGCTGATGTGTTCAACCCATCCGTGTATGTACGAACCGGGACACCGGCAATGTTTATCCTTGCTACTTTGAACAACAACGGCTACGTACAAACGCGCAAGAAAGTGACACTGTGAACAAAGGCTCAACTGGACCGACCTGGCATACTGTTCCTCATATTTCCGGGGTTCTTGTTGCCGTTCGCCTGACTGTTGCTTGGCCGTAAACACCGATGAGTCGTCGACTTGGGTATAGCGGCCGCAGCAGCGGCATCCTGACCGTCAGCAATCAACTGACGGATAGGGGCGGTCAGTGGCTGGTGATAATGGGCGGAAGGTACGCTGCTGTACTGACTGCTACCACCACATTCGACCATCCCCAAGGCGCCACCATTAGCGACGCCTGGAGGCAGGTGTGGTATCGCAGTTGAAGTCGGAAGGAAGTCGGAATTGGGCATCGTCAATCCGACGGAGTGATCTGGCATTGGAGTATTACTGGTGTTGGTGCTCGGACCGACGGTCAGATTTGTGCTCGTCGTGTTCTGACCCCATGTCGGCGCCGGTAATGCACCTACTTCGCTCACACTATCCACCTCCTCCAAACTAAGGCAGGACATGTCTGAAAGAGGGGAAAACAGAGGAAAGCAATTGTGAACTGACTGTACAAATGGTCCATAGAACTAAGAACGGTAGCACGAATAAGCAGCTGTGGAAACAACACTGCACTAGTAAACTTGCACGCTGGCTAATACATCCGTGGTCATCAAAACTGGCCAGAATAACTGAGGTGATATAAAACTTACGTCCTGCAATGGTGGGGAAAACGTAGTAGCATTGTTCGGAGAATTTAGTTTTGTTGACAGTGTGTCGGATGTAGCCAGATTTGAGTAAACTGGATGCGTACTTGCGGGCACTGCGTCGATCCGTAAAACCATCCAGATGACGGTAAAGCCAGTCGACCAGATCAGAACCTGTGCAACAAGAACAAACGTGGAATAACTGGCCTATGTGCTACGAAATAAGGAAACTGAAAATAGAAAGCAGCATGACTTTGGGGAATTCTGGACGTCACATTCCTTGACCTGGATAGCCCAGTGAAGTCTTTCGAGTTCGAGTACGTGCTGGGACCGATATATGTCGGCTACCGAGATCCTGTTAGTCCGGGAACAAGACCGAAAGTATGCTCTTTGAATCACCACCATTCGATTACTGACCCCTGCTTGTGTTGGACTGCACAAAAGACGAATCGGGCAACTTAGCCAATTATTGGTAGATCTGGTTCGTTCATTGGTTGCTGGTCGGGCGCCCCTTGATTTACTCGCTGAGCTTGGCAACCAGATCGCAAACGTTTCTCGAAATGAGGAAATATTACAGGTTCGGAGAACATGGCGTTTCGAGGTGTAAGTGGGACAAACATTAATCAAATATTCCCTTTTGCACACTAATTTGGTTTCGGCGGGACTCAACTGAATCCAGTTGAATGTCTCGTTTATGATTGTCTTCTACGACCTAATGTGCTGCACAAGGCTGCCTCATATTTCAGTTAATGCAATTTTCGAGATATCGCTATACAATATCCAGACGCATGACGCTACTCATAAGGTTGCTGAAGACTCGTCGACAGCCAACAGACGGTTTCATCCTTCTTGGGGTTCGTCGGATGGGGCGATCCCCGAGTTTCCGTCAACTTCATGTTCTCCTTGAAACCAAACTAGACGGGATCCCCAATCCTTGTCTTCTCCGACCTAATGTGCTGCACAAGGCTGCCTCATATTTCAGTTAATGCAATTTTCGAGATATCGCTATACAATATCCAGACGCATGACGCTACTCATAAGGTTGCTGAAGACTCGTCGACAGCCAACAGACGGTTTCATCCTTCTTGGGGTTCGTCGGATGGGGCGATCCCCGAGTTTCCGTCAACTTCATGTTCTCCTTGAAACCAAACTAGACGGGATCCCCAATCCTCTCATTTGCACAACAGATCAATTTTCAAACGAACTCAAATGAATCCAGCTGAATCTCTCGTTCATGCTGATTGACGGAAACTCAAGTACCGTGTCTACCTGACCAGCCTCAAGAACAGCGAAGCCAGTAGTGGGCTGTCGAAGAGTTTGCAGATAGACTGGATATGATAAGGAGATACTTTTTGGTTGAGTAATTAAATCAATCCAGCAGGTGGCAACGAGACACACAATCAAGTCTAAAATACCAACTTTGAAAGATATACTCTCTGAGTACAAGTCAATCGGCGAAAAATTGCAGGAAACAAGAAGCAGAGATGTAGTTACCATTTTCTAGCCATGTACCTTAAAAGAACACATAACTACAAGTGAGTTAGGACCAAACGGCCGAAGTAACCCAGTGAAATCTCTCGCAAGGTGGGACAAGTGGATTAGTTGGAATAGCGTTGTTCTGCATGTGACAGTGAGTGTACCCGACACGCTGGTTCGGCCTGATGGGAATGTGAAGTCAGTGATAAAGAGGTGGGCCGAGGGTTTCTGAAGAAACTACAGCAAATGCGACAGATGGGCTGGCGACGAGTTGTAGCTTACACTGACATACTGTAAATCGGTGCACCTTATTTGACGGAAAACGATCGGCCAAGTAACGACCAAAGGGTTGCCCATCAACCATTACGAAAAGGCCCACATGTAGTTGCATTAGTCAGTCAGAAAAGAGCGACCTGTGTGTATGGACAGGAACATCATTTTGTTATTACTACTAGCTACAAGTGTTTTACGTGTTGTTTTGAAACATGGGCTCCTTAAAAACGCAATAAAAACGAGAAAAAACTACCATTGTGTTCATTTCATGGACTGTGCATGTCAATAACTTGAGACTTTACCCTGATGAGTAGATAGGCTACTTCGACGTCCAGCGAGAAACAGTGAGAAGACAACCAAACGAATGTCATGGGCTCGAAAAATACATCGAATTTAACGTCTGAGCTAGCTACCACTGACACATCAGCGACATGGCTCAAGTGGTTAGAGCGCGAGTTTACTGACCGGAAGGTCAGTGGTTCGAACCTGATTTCTGCCTCTCGACTTTCCCTGTCTAGGCTTGGGCAACCTGGCAACATCCAAGCCCCCATGCAGCCTTCGAGTGGCATGGCAGTTAGGCATCGAAAGGGTGTTACAGCTGAACGATCGGCCTATTGAAAGGATGTGCTTACTTGAAAACACTGTATATTGACAAGGATTGTTGTCTTGTAGGTGGATCTCGACTAGAAACAAACAACTCGCGTTGTGGCGGGCTGCATGAGGATTACTGACAGACTACCAGCAATCCGCTTGACTTACAACAGCTTCACACTGTTGTGTGTATGCAAGGTGCAAATGAAGAGCGCATAATCATTCCGAATGTGAACCTCAACATCAATATCAAAATAAATTTGGACGACGTGGAAAAGGAAGCGTCGAGGAGTTTATGTAAGTGCTTGTTCTACCTAGTTAAGAAAGTCAAACACTGTGTTACGAGTAGGTGAAGTTGCAAGAACTTATGGACTGGCTCTCCACTTCGATAACAATTAGTGTTACAACCGTCTTACGCAACAAAGCATACTGCACAAAAATCCAGAAACTGGATCAACTAGTGTTTCATCCGATCAATGATCGGAGTGTGGAATACTGGAAAGCCCCCTTGCCACGGGGTGATCGTTGTGATCGAGCAGGCTAGGGACAGGCGGAAAGAATTGAGAAACGGAGTACGCGCGAGTACACACGCACACCTACCGATAAATGCATTAGGCACAGTCAACTTTAACCAGATGCGATCACGGATGTCAAGGCCAGAATCAGGTTGAATCAACGCTCCAATCACCGTGGCTGGATCAGTGTTTACGGTCAGTGGAATGGGTTCGGAGTAGCGTTCAATCTCAGGCAAAGAACTAGAAGCGGTGACCACGCTTGGAGTAACCTGAACGGGATTGGAAGTGAAAAAATAATGAAGTCATATAGAACAGAGTCGTTGGAAACTAATTACGCTGAAAGCCGATTCCATAATAGGAGTGTGAACATAATGTGTTTGGCACCAGCGACGCAAGGATCACAAGGTTGAAATGTCATCATCATTGAGGGGGGGGGGGTTCAAACATTTCTGGGAACGGCTAAAATGCAAGGATGCTATTGGGAATGTAGCTGCACGAGATCTATCAAGGTACCCAGACGGGTGTGAGTACTGGAAATGTCATATTGAGGGGGGGGGCATCCAAACATTTCTGGGAACGGCTAAAATGCAAGGATGCTATTGGGAATGTAGCTGCACGAGATCTATCAAGGTACCCAGACGGGTGTGAGTATTGATTAGCCCTTAGTGACCGGACGGCATAACCTCCAACTAATAACCGGGTGGCGGGCTCTAATCACCCTAGAGATTCGTGAGAAGCGCAGCGCTCGAGGGTCCCAACAAGGATGAAACAGCTATGCAATGCTTCTCGCTTTTCAACAGAGACTGACTTCATAGCAACAATAAATGTACTGAAATTCCAAAATTTCCTCACATTAACATTCATCTTTAACTGACTTTATCCGCTACGCTCCTAAGCCTGATAAGCTTTGGTAACAACCAAGTCATTTATGGTTGAACGAAAAGTATTCTTCGAGAAAGTCTATCTATTGGCATTCGAAGCATAATTTATCGAGTGCCACCAGCTAGTTCATCAGGTAAGCTGGTTCCCCGCCTTCCTCAGCACTACTGACTAGATACTTCGGAAAAACTAAAACAAGGCTTCGTGGACACCAGCAGTCGAAATTTGAGAACTTTGATAAGGCTGCAGCTTGCGGTGTGCGGGCTTATAGCAGCACAGGGTTCATCGCAAACTCCAATGTTAACAGAACAGCTGATGGTGCTTCGGCACCATAGATGTAAGTTAGTTTTTATCAACTTCGACTAGGCCACTAGAAACGAGGCGACTGTTGTGGGAAACGGATTTAACAATCGGATAGATCGGATCAGCTGAGAACAGCTCAGGTTTCACCTGACACTATCCTGCGCCGCTTGACAAATGCAAGCCCTACGATTAACGGTCCCTGTAGGCATAAGGAAGCTAGTAATCTAGTCAAGAAAGTCTATCTAACACAAGAACAAGCAAGGGGAAGGAAACCTGTGCCGCGCCATCTTTTCTATGCGTGATATTACGAGCCAATGTTTGCGGCACAGTTTATTTCTGTCGTGCCGGACTACATGTTCAGGGTGCATGTTGGTTTGCAATGACCAGCGACCGACCGTACAAGGTGAGTGTGTAACGTGAGCAAATATCATTTAGTACAGCGATTGTCAATCAAGGAACATGACCCCTCGGGAGGTGTATGGGAAGGTATGGGAAGCAACGGGGTTCACAATCACAAACCTCTGCACCCGTTACGCCTTAGTTTTGATGCGAACGATATAACAATTTTCCACGAGCGTTCAAACGAATATCAGTAGTCACTTTATATTGAAAAGGGAAGCACACAGGGCCACACGGAAACACCAAATGCACGTGAGGTACGTTGGGCGATAAAGATGTCAAGTCTAGCCCCACAACAGTACGGGAATAATATAGTAGGGATGCCGGCACAAACCTGTTGCGGATATCCTGGAGGAATCATCGAACTCGGTAGGGGATACATTGGATTATGCTGAAGTTGCAACTGCGGATGGGGTGGTTGCTGTAGCAAGTGTTCGTTTTTTGACTGCTGTTGCTGCTGCTGCTGTGAAGCCAACAAAATGGCCATGTTGTACGCGGCAGCGCTTGTACCCATTGGCATTGAAGTTTGCCCGGACGTCAGCGTCCCCATGCTCATACCTGGTGTGAGACCATCGGCACCGGACGGACTCAAGGTCGAACTGGATTCTCCACCAGAAGAGGCGCCATTCAACAGTAGTTGTGGATCGTTTTCACCGCGGCGCTGTTGATGTTGTTGCTCCGCTGCTGTCATCGCGTTGGTGTGTAACACCCAGGCACGTGGATCGATCGGACGCACAGGTTCCTGTCGAGGAACGGTGAAGTAGCCAGGGCATGGATTTGGATCCCAGCACTTGGCCACAACCAGTGTGATTGGGCTGGAAATAAGAAGGATGGAAAACATGACGGAGATACCAATCAGTTATCCGTATTCGTGAACGGAACAAGCACCCTAAATCAGTCATACCAGCATGCGTTTCAAGCACTTGGCACCAGCAAGCATCCGAAAAAATTTCGACTGCATTTCTAACCATTCGGAACCCGTCGGTGAAACCCGATTTCCCAGGTTGAACCCGCATGCGTCCACATAAATTTCAATTGGCCATCATCGGTGAATTAATCTGAGCGGTTGATGCCGCGCCTTTGGTACACGACGAAGCTAAAAGCTCTACAAAGCCGTCTAGAATCCTGTATAATCTACCACAGTTTCAATGAGGCATAAAAACGACTACTTACCCGGGGCGTTGCACCTGCTCGCGTAACGTCCGAACCGCATCATCATTGCTCATCTCCTCAAAACTGATTCCGTTCACTTCCAGTATCATATCACCGGGTTCAATGCGGCCATCTTGAGCGACAGCACCTCCCTTCATTATCGAACCCACATAAATGCCTCCATCACCGGCTTTGTTCGACTGGCCGACAATACTGATGCCCAAGAAATTAACGGTGTCCATGTTGAGTGTGACGGCCACGATGTTTAAAGACATGGTCGAGTCAGTGATGCTGCTGAAAGAGGAAGCCTGGGAAAGAACAAAATAAGAGGTTATATTAAGAAGTTTTTTTAAATTATGAAGTCAAAACACAGCAAAGTGGAACAGTTTGTTGTAACCCAACGTTTTTGGTTGCCGTAGACGACCTTTCTCAAGGATTGTCAAAACACTGCGTGCTGGCTTTATAATTGAAAGAAAAATAAGAGGTTATTGGAAATGTTTGCAATGAATGAAGTTTGTTTACGCCCAGGAAGAATGAGGGCAAGATTCCGTGTTGTGCGTAAACAAGCACGTGTCCAAATAAATAACGGGGCGTAGCGGGGAAAAAGTAATTCACCAATTCATTAGCACCATTAGCCTAGGTGCAGCTAACAGGCAAGGGGGTGATTCACGCGAATTAGCCATGCGAGGGCGAAGCTAATTACAAGCAACGAGTCTGACCTCGGAGAGGGAACAACAGCTTAATGAACTCGTTTCGTTAGAACAATTAGTAAGCACAAAAAGACACAGGGTGAAAGCTGGTGGATGTGGAACAAGGACGCCTCAGATGACCTATACTGTTAATCCTATTTCACATGGAACTAGTCGGATCGTCACAGTGGCATATGAAGTCCTCTTTCAAGGGGATTCTGGAACATTCAGGCGACGGCTAGCATGACACTGGGGAACGATTCCGTACCGGTGGAGAGCTTGGCAGACTAGCTTATGGTTGCTGATCAGCTGGCAGCTTGGAAATTGGCTTCAAAACGTTTGCAATTGCAAGCTTGGCGAATAGATTAAATGACACCTGGTCAACGGCCAATAAACCCCGTATTTAAATATGTTGCTAGTTTTAGGTTGAAGACCCGAAATGTCCTCCGGGAAAAAAATCATCGACAATGCGAAACGACAACGCGGTTTAGTGCATGTTTCCTGCATTTGGTAAGGAAGTCCCTAAATTTACATTCATCGAACCCTGGAGGGTCGTAAAACCCCGGTGTTCAAGGCGTCACTGGAGAGGATCTTGCCAATCTAGAGTATGTAGACAATATTTTTCTCATCTTCGAAGACGAAGATAAAGCACAAGCGCTTTGAAATCAATTGGCTACCAAAATACCATCTTTTGACTACAAGGTGCAAAGGTATACTACAGAATGCCCAGTCTCTGAACATACCCTTCAGAATTCAAGGGGGGAGCACTGGGCGTTGTAAAAAGTTTTACATACCTCGGAATCTGCGTCGTATTTAACGGACCCAAATCATGTTTGTTAATTCGCGTCACTTGTGACATCAAAAAAGCTTGTCGTCTCAGTGTATCAGATTACAGTAAGGGCTACGTTTTGAGATGAAGCCTTCGCTAGGCTGAGTAGAGCCTTCCATCCGTCTAACCTACATCATTTGGACGCTCCAACAGGACCAACTGACCCGTTAATGGTCGATGAATGACCAACAATACACAGTGCTCCCATCCCGAATCAAAGAACGGACTTGGTTCAGTGGGACTTGTGTACATCCAACAACCACTCGTATTTCGGTGATCACTTGGTATCAGCTACCTATGGTGCGCCCAGAGATCAGCTGAATTTGGAAAATGTTGTCGTTACACATGCTTTACGTACGGTATGATTGCATACAGGTTTAGACTTGGTTTGACATTGTGGTGGTAGAAGACTCCAACTAACCCGATACCTAGCAGGTATTTCGCTGGCCAGCCCGGAAAGAACAGAACGACTGAGTTCTGAATGTAACTAACCAGATACGGGCACTGGGTCGGCCCAACCTGATAAAACCGGATAACCTACCAGTCCCCGTATGATTCAACCTAATGCAGAATAAGTTGTAATGTTCATCGGGTCCGTTGAAAAACAAGATTTTTTTTCCTTGGAATATGGAAGACGAAAGCAAGCCACGTTGAGAAGTATTTTCACAAACAGCAATATTATTGAGAGGAGACATCCGAAAAGGGCCGAAAAGGGTCAAAAATCGTGCTAATCAAAAGGGCAACCAAAACGAAAACCTTTCTGGATTCGTTGGAATTCCTGAGCCAGCCTACAAACTGATTCAGGCGGACAAGTAGAAAAGGATGCATGCATGCATACGTAGGTTGTCCGGATTCACTGAAAACCACAACTTACGCGGCTGATGGGGGGTGGCCGTCGACGTTTGCGACGCTGACGGACTCGGCCGTAACGACGAGAGGACAGTGTGGTTCCCGTCACTGAGGAAAATCTGGAATCGAAATAAGAAAAAGTGATCAAAACCGGCACGAAGAGATGGACTGAACAACCTGACAGAGATGAAAAGACAACGGTAGGTTAGAAAACGCGGAATCTATGGTTTCTGAGCCTAAACCGAATTTGTTCTACAGTTCATGTTCCGAAGAAAACAGGTACAGTCTATAGTGACAGAGACAAAAACTTTTCCGAGGGCGTCCGTGAGAAGTTCGAACCCGAGTGATCGGAATGGCAGTGCACGAACTCATCTAGCAAAAAATTCAGGTAAAAGATCGGAGGAAGCACCACTACTCATTCTAATGAGACTATAGTCTTTTTCAAAGTAGCTCTCAAAAAATTCCAAAGTTTGAACGTACCGATTGAAAAGTAGATCCCTCCGGAAATCATCGAATCTATTAACTAGAACTAGGGGCGAGATGGTTCAGGTGATTAGAACGTGAGTTTACTGGTCGAAAGGTCCGTGGGTCGAACTCGATCTCTGGCCTCTCGACTCCCTCCGTCCAGGCTTGGGCAACCTGGCAGTATCTTAGCCCTCTTGCAGCCTTCGGGTGGCATGGCAGTTAGGCACCGAAGGGGTGCTACAGCTGAACGATTTATTTTTTATTCACTAACTAAAGTAGCAAAAACAGCATTTGAGATGTGGAGGTACCGTAGCTGGTATGTTCAGCAGCGTCATTGCTATTCCTAGGTGTATACGACAATTCCCAACCATTTTCTTTACGGTCCTACAGAATTTGATAGCGAGTCTCTACCCTCTCCTTTCACCATTAGCAACATATTTCGACCTTTTGGTGACACTCAAACATTACTATATATTGGACCTTGAGAAATATTGGAGACAAGTAGAACTTTTGGCTAGGATAAAGCTTTTCTATGGGGACCGTTGACAGAGTGGACCTCAAATGGTCGCTCCAGAGGGGGGGGGGAATGGTGCAAAGCGTGTTCGTAAATTCGAATATTTCATCCCAACACTACGGATAATGATAGAGGGAACTCTCAGTGTGGACAAATTTACCCTAGTAGTTGCAACCAGGATGGCGGAAGTTGGTGGGGGATAGTTTGAATATTGTGGACTAAAAAAGCGACATTATTAAGCGGAGTCACTTTGAAAGGTTTTCACCACTAATAGGTGTGTGCACAACAAATTGCTGTCTAAGTATGTAGGCTCTGCAGAAAAAAAGTTACATATAAATGCCTCTTAAACTTGCTGACCCTACTAGGTTTCCAATGTACCAGTCATCATCATCATCGACAGCATGACATCAGTGTTCAACGCCGATGCTTCACTGCCGTACAACCATGACTTATTTGAAAGCCTTATTGTGAAGAAAAGAATAAAGGTGGATGGGGAAGGGACTTAGTGCTAGCTTAACACAATCATTCCGAGGTGCCTACACCTCCAGACATTCATTCAGGCAATCTGGACAGAAACTGACAACAAGAAC